CTGGCTAGCTTCAAAGGGACAGCAGAAATTAATTTCTTTGGAAAATTCCTCGCCTTTGATCTTGCGGCATCCCAAAAGACAGTCGCAAGGCTGTGCTGGTTTCTAGGGCAACCAGACAACACAGAGTGCATTTTCCAAAGACTGTCTGGAACGTGCAAATTTTTTTTGTTTATTCTTATTTTTGAATAGGCTTTTGAGACAAACTATGATGATGAACATGTCAGAGCGAACAGGGTACTAGACGGGCAATGAAGTGGATCCAGATAGTGGTTTAAACGTGTGCAACTTTCCCTCCGATCAAGGGATTGTTTCTTCCTTTTTTGTACTTCTCTTGTATGCCATTCAATTTGAAAAACACCAAGAAAGTCTTGTGAAACTTAAAAATTCCTCTCGATGCCTGGTTAAAAGAAGTCTTTATTATTAGTCATTTTTACTGTTTGACATTGGGAACAAAATACCAAAGTCATCAGTCTAACCATGGTTGTACATAATCCGTGCTGCACCTGGCTATTGGTAGCCAGCAGTGGTACCAACCTTGCCAGGCGGGTCCCATCACTAGAATACTCCAACTTGTGTGGGTTTGAGTGAAGTTACATGTACCGGTAGTTGGACTATAACCATAATTGATGCTCGCACTTGTTCACCATGCCATCATGTAAAACACCACTAATGGTGTCTATTTCCATCTTCTGGTACAATGGACAGTTCTCCCTTTATACAGTATGTGGGATGATGCGTCTCTTCCACCCCAATGAACCCACTCCTTCTCGACCCCTCCCGCCACCACCTCCCCGCCACCACCTCCACATAACTCCCGTCCTGCCACCCTCTCTCCATCACTCCCGTCCCGCCACCCTCTTCCCCTCTAATAAAAAAAACAATACAAAATAAAACAAAACAAAGAAATCAATTCTTGTATCTTATGATCACTCATCCCCACTTTCCAATTGATCGGCAATACCGGTATGTGCGTTTGTTGGAAAAACATATTGGTCAATTTCTCAACTACCGGGTAAGATCCCTCTTGCATTGCCATTCATGATGAACAATTTTCAGGAGTGTCTGTTGTTGGGGTAGAAAGAATGTTTGCCAACACCCACACAAGAATTTTCTCAGCCAGATATAATGGGATATGATCTGTCTGCCCTCTTTGGGCTGCGCCAAAAGAAATGCAGGTACAGGTATTTATTCTCAAACTGTAATCTCGAAATATGTGACACACATGGTACACATACGTAGAAAATTACATGTATTTGAAAATGTGAAAATCTAAAATCCCAGGTAGATACCAGGATCAAAGTAACAAAACAAACAAAAACACAAACATACCCAAAAAAAAACAATAAACAAAACAAAAACAGATTGATAAACATAATTTTTTTCACAGACAAAAGTTAAACAGTGATATTTTGGATTTTGAAATGTTTTGTTAAGACCAGAAAAAACACATTGAGGATACATGTACAGTATCATAGTGTATGTACATGTACATGTAATACATCTTCATTTTGAGGCCAAATCAGACTTACGGGTTACATACAGTATACTACAGGTACAGTACTGGGTATCTGCACTTGCATCGGACGTGTGTGTACATTTACTGCAAACATGTACTAAAAGTTTTCCTGCTTGAAATTCAGCTGATTAAATCTCTAATATGAGATTGCTACATGATTTGAGCAAAATGTGTTTGTACATGTATGTACATGTACATGTGTACATTTCAGAACTACTGATGCCAAAGTTATGTTTTCCATTTGAGTTAATCAACAAATTTACATGTTTATAAACGTTTTAGAGACTTTTTTGGGGGGGGGGGATAACTGGGCACAGGACGTAGTGGAGAAAAAAGAAGGGGAAAAATGAATGGGATTGATTTTTTGTTGTTAATTTTCAGATTTATTGATTGGTAATCTTTGATCTGTCTTCTTCACATATTTTAAAGAAATACTGTATAAAAATAGTGGAATAAAATTACTGTGGTGTATTTTAAGGAAAAACAATGGCATCTTTCATTTCACCACTTTGAAACTTTAAAGGCTTTTTCTCAGTATTTTACTTTTGTCATGTTGATGAATGCAAACTTTAAACAGCTGTAACTTGTCAATATCATGATTGCGTGTACATCTTGGGGATATGCATTTGTAGTGTTTTGTGACTGAAGGTACCCGTACATACATGTTGTACCAATTCACATGTCACGTTGCACACCACTTCTTCTTTCAGGTATACATGGTATAGTGCAGGCGTCATGGAATGAAGATAAATGCACTGTAGGTTGGTGCACGCGCAGTTGTAATATGTACGCAGAGAAAAAAATCTCTTGTGCATGATATGTACAGTGGAGTGCGGTGAAAAAGTTGGATGTCTGCATGTCTGTGGCTTCCCTCAATGCCACCCTGAAGGCATTGAGTGTTGCGAAGTCACTAGGATCCTTCTTTTAGGGAGTTTCATTCCTTGCTGGTACCGTAGGAGGGAAGAAGGAGGAAGAGTACACTTGAGAGCTGTAGTGGGGAGTCCAAAAGCGAGAGCCATGACCTCTATAAATTGAACATACTATGTCTTATTCATCTCCAGTATTGTTGCGTATAGCGCCATCGTTTGACAGAGATTGTCCAGTTTCTCCTTTTTTTGAGACGGATCATACAAGTGTGTATTTGCCTGCAATCGGGGAACCCCTATTGTCACATCGCCAAATTGAGGACCTTTGGGAATTGGGGACCCTTGGGAATTGGGGACCCTACTGTCCTCTTTTGTTCAACATCCCATATTGAATGCAGAAACAAACTCATCATGAGTTGGTTTATGTGTTACTTTGTGTTTCCCTTTTTTTTGGATTAGAAAATGCATCGTGAACAAACTAACGTTTGTGTGCTTACAGAATTTTAAACAATTCCACATGTACATGTAGATGCACGTGTACATTATACCTGTTGTGTACAATACATGTACCGCACTGCTGGTTCATGTTTATTTACATGATACAAATGTCTCAAAACAGAACCTACTATGATTTTTAAACTCCTTTTGCCCCTCTTTTCTTCTTTGTAATGCCTTTTTTTTTTTTGATCCAGCTGCAAATCTTTGAAGTCAATGAGAGATATGAGTGTAATGTCCCTGGCAAACCTTTCAGTTGCGTTATGTTCAGTATGTATGTATCAAATCAGGAGTTTGAAATACTGCACACAAATGTTTTATTGACGGTGGGATAGGCATGCATGTTAACAACCTGACATCACACATTGGGACTGGTAATTTTTTCTTCTTCATTTTTACTTCAGTTACACATGCAAAATTTAGACTGGGCACTTTCTACCGGAGTTCACACGTTGCACTGAACTGACAGTTTGATGCGTCCTGCGGGAACTCGCGTCACATAGTCGGAATGACCCACTCTGTCAATATTAGGTCACCGGGGACCAGTCACTGAGGAGGGAACCAGGAGCCGAGCTGTTGGTTGGCTTGGTCCAACTTCCCTGTTTGCAATTTGGGCTGTGTTGTATTGTAGAATTGAGAACACGTGTGTTTGTGATTTGGATGTCATTCTAGGAGACCTCGTACGTCCGTTTGTGATTTATTACTGTGAGATTCTTGGGAGATAGAATGATGATACATGAGAATAGTCAAGTTCCCTGAGTGCAGTCATTGATATAAATTAAGGCTGAATCAGTTTAAAGGTTTTAAAAAGAAAAAAAGAGTTGGTATTTTTCTTGTTTTTGTTTGTTGAAGTGTTACTTTGACAGTGCTTTGTTGGTTGTTTGCTCTCAAGACATCTGTTTCATGTTCAGAATGAACTCACTTGAGTCATCCATAATAGTGACGATTCCATCTTGCTAGTGTCTTACAAAGTTACATTATAGCCCATCTCTCTAAAATCCACCTCCTTGCATCCAGATTTGTCAAAGTGTTCCACATATGTTCTCTCCCCTTCACTAGTTACAGTTGACTGGGTCTGACTCTGATTTGTCAGAGCGAGCTCAAAAGTGCAAACAGATAACACACCAAGGGAGGAGATGCTCTGACTTTGCCCTCCTCTTTCTGTCTCCCTCTCCACTCGTCAGCTAATAGACAGGTGATGAGTGAGACTCCAGTTGAGATAATACCGGGAACTTAGATAAGCTGAGGACCTGGGATACAGCTGGATCACTTGGTGCTGAGGAGGAAGGCAGTAGTGCTTGTTAGAATCATTGTACTTGACACAAAGGGTCTGATACTTTGAGAAGGGGTAGAAAATCTTCAAAGGGTTCCGGGCCGGAAAGAGGCATCAGACTTGAAGTGAAAGTATTGAGGGGCAAATTCACTGTAGGTGGCTAAATTGTCATGATTATCAATAATTGGTGTTTTTTAATATTTTCAGCAAAGTGAAAGTGATTTATATTGTTGCCCCTGCTCATGGGCTAAGAAAACTCCTTAGACCATCTCAGCTCCCTGCGCAGTAAACAGCTACATGTAGATGTAGCAAATTTTCTGGCACAAACCAAATACAATCCTCAAACAAATAAATGATGGGGAGGAGCAATTTGTGACAAAGTGTCTCTTGCCCAAGAACCTGCACATGTAATTGCATGCACCAGATGCAGGAGAAGTTGGGCTGCGACGCAGATACATGTAATGTGTGATTGAGGGAAGGTCTCCCAAACTATGGAGCACCTTCTTGCTTGTCCATTGCAGTCCACGTGATCTGGAAGTTTTTAACTTTTTGAACCTGTGTCCGTCAATGGCTGTGTTAAAGGCAGCGAAATGACAAAAACAACAACCATCAGATTAAGTGGCAAATAATCCAATGAAATAATGCCAAATGTCCTCACTGTAGAATAAAACTTGCTGTCAGTGCAGCAACTGTTAGTGCCATGCAAATAATGCCCAATTGTCAGAATTGTTTTGCCTCAATCTTTTCATCTTTATCTTAAATTTGGAATGAATTTGCCCTGGTCTCTGTTTCTTAATTTGTCAGCATTTTTACCTAAGTTTGTTTATGTTTTTTGTTTTGTTTTGTGCAGGATGGCTCCTATCTTGCAGAACTGCTACTTTCCAAGGGTTACAAGGTAATCAGATCCGACCTAGCATAGAAGTCCAGTCCTTTGCTCAATCTGACAAGTATGGACTCCGTGCACAATTACTCCTTCAAAGAGGGCGGAGTTATTTAGTCATTTGCCTGCAATGTTGTATTTTTGAGTCCCTGTACACATGTAAGTCCCTGCAAGTCCATCACAAGTCCTCCAATCTCAAGTCAAGTCACTAGCTATTCAAATGAACTTTTACAAAAGTGTTCCTTTGTCATTGTTCATCCAGTTTGTGACTGGCTTTATGAAAAGAAACTTGCAAAAGGAATTGAATACAACACTGTTTGCCTGGCAGCTGCGAGGGGTGGTTACTACATACATTTGTGCAAAAGCTTCAGATTTGTGTAAACCGGTATGTGCACACTCAGTGTGTTCCCTGCATGGAGTGCTCTTGAGTTGCTCCCCAGACTCTTCGTGCATGCCACTGATCTTGCATGAGACGCACGGACCAGAGTTTTTGGACTGCGTTGCAATGATGATTACTTGACGAAGGACCCAAGTGGTCTTGGTATAAGTTTAGCCTTGTACGTGTGAATGTAGTCGGTCCCCTCTCTCTTTTTCAAGCACAGCTGGGAAGATGCCGGATACCTACGAAGTTTTTCTGATCAGAGACGACTCGGAGTGGGAAATGATCATGAAACATGACAGCCAGGATTAATTTATAACAGTTCTCTAGGTCAATCACAGATTTCAGTAAACACTAATGCCAGGAAGTTGTATGTTTAACACTAGATGGATCCATGATCCAAATTATCAAGATTGGATTGCTAAAGCTGACAAACATCATGCCAAATGTCGTCTCTGTCATACAACAATAGACTTGACCGGCATGGGTGAATCGGCACTCACTAGTTACTTACTTGTAATTGGTGCAGATCAAATGTCTCTGATAAACCATCAATGTTTGCTGGATTTTGGTCCTTGAAAATGGGATTTCTGGACCTTGAAAGACCTTGAAAAGTCCTTGAATTTGAGCTGTTGCAAGTGTATGAACCCTGGTCACAGCAAAGAGCACCACACCCACCTAGTGTCGGCAAATCGTGTGTACATTGGAAAATATGTTGCAGCAAAGAGCGCCACTTATTGTCCAATATAGTCCGAGATCGTCTGCTTTGACAAGCATTTCCAATAGTCAGACAGTGTCCAGCCAATCCCCAGCCCCCACACATTTTGATTTTGCGATGGCCGGCTGAACAGGAAAAAATCCTTCAAACATTGTTTCTGATGAACACTGGCAGTAAAAAAAATTACTTCCTTGATGATAACCTTGGTGATTTGTTTATGTGAAATTATTTCTTTTTTCTTTACTTTCTCTTAAAAGGTTCATGGCATCATGCGCAGATCAAGTTCATTCAACACTGGCCGCATAGCTCACCTGTACGCAGACACCAAGACACATCAAATGAAAGGTAACATTTACATGTATAAGTCAATGGACCCTGAAGGCTTGGAGCCTTACATGCTTCAGACTGGTGTCCCAGAGTTGAGTGCAACCAACTTTTATCAGAAATGGCTCAGGTGAACACAAATACAAATGTAGATTTCAGTTTTAGACTTGCAAACTTGATGTCTTCATTTCCGTTGTACCATGTGACAAGAATGGACTCGATTCATTTTTGCCTCATCTGAACTTTGTTCAGGAAAGAGACTATGCAATCACTGTGTCTGTCCCAGGGGGGATGGAGGGGAGGGGACCTAAGAAGAGCGCGAAAGATGGTCTGTGTGCCTCTTCTATTCGTAAAAAATGGGTGTGCGAAATGGTGATAATGGAAATATCCCTTTTAAAGTCGTCATTTGTACACTTTCAAAATATTTTTCAAGAGTCGCCCGAAACTAAATTATGCCAAAGATTTGAATAGATTTGAGTTCAAAGTTTGGAATGGTTAGGAGCAACTAGGAGCTCAAGCCAATGAAATAATTCCAGTAGTTCAGACTTATGGGCTCCGTGCACAAGTCCCCCTCAACGGTTAAGAAGGGAGAGTTGGGGAGGCCACCTGGATTGACATTTGTACGCATTGCCGACGATGCCTGAGGCTCACGCGAAGATGCTATGGCACATTCAGAATGAAATTAGCTGACGTACTTCACGCCATACGCGTGTGAACCAGTACGCGCATCCACGGGGCTCTCGAATTTGGTAAATAAGCGCGCCCCCTCTTGTTCGCGCATGGAGCCCATAGTCTAGTCAAAAGAAACATTAGATATAAAATTTGCCTGTCTGAAACCAAGATGTCTTTGAATGGACTGTAGTGGCTTATAATACGTTTTGGTTTGGCGGTACCCTGGTATGCCAGTCAAGCCTACAGTCCCCTGCTTAACTAATGCTGACATCTTAACCAAGCTTTTGACTCGGCTGGGGTTACTACTTCTGGTGGGAGAAATTGGAGATTTCAAAATTCGGTTATCCTAATTTGTTGCAAACTGAATAACGGTTATCTTTTATACTGGAAGTTCCCATCCAGCTCACAGTCATCCCAAGAAAAGTGACAAGTGAGGTCCCGCATGCAATGCCCTCCCAGTGACTAGGTATAGTTTGCAGGATTCAATAACTACTTTTTACAAGAACACTCCAGAGCTGTAGTGTTGAATAAAATGGATGGGAACTCTCTGATAAGTCGAATGGGCAGGCTCTTCATATACATTGTACCAAGAACACAACTAGCAAGTGAATGCATTTACAGTGGCCAGGCCTAACTTGAATACATACATCGTAGGGGAGCTAATCAAATGCACAGTGTAGTTTATTTTTAGTAGAGTCTGCTATTCGTATCTTTTCTTTGTTTTAACTGTGACGAATCATTTCTTGGCCATTTGATTTATATCCACAGATATGGTACTACACTATGGCGACCTTACTGACAGTACCTGCCTCGTGAAGATTATCAGTCAAGTACGGCCAACAGAAATCTACAACCTGGGTGCCCAGAGCCATGTGAAGGTGAGAGTTCAATCCATTTGTCGCACCAAGGTATTAAGATTATGAACATTAATTGGTTTAGAACTGTTCAGGTGTAGTGTTTTAGAAGTTTGCATAGGACCATCTTAGAGATTCCACAATGGGCAATTTCTATAAGTACATGTACAATGTAGGTTTTGAAATGTCATTGGCTGAGATCTTCACATGATATATTTCAGAAGTTCATGTACATGTATGACAATCTATATTACATCGTATGATAAGTATATTTCCAAAATGCAATAAATAAAATGCCATTTTGCTCCACAAGAATCGTGTGATTCTCATGGAACAACTGGCGTCACACAAAATAATTACAAACATGCTTGTGTCACCCACGATGCGGCGACGATTCCTCGGCATAGACGTGATCATGTGATGTCTTCAAAATGGCAGTGCACATGTTGTTAACAATCAAACAATCGTCCACGGCCACCTCTGTTCATTCAACCATTTTTGCTGTAAGCTGAAGAAAGATAATTTGGTTGCGAGCACTACGTGGTAACTTCACACAGGTCGACTGTGATTGATTCCCCGCCTGTCATCAGGCACACGTTCCGACGAGGTGCAAAAGTTGACATTTTTATTCTCTTGCAACTGTTTTTTTACAATTTTTTGAGCGCCAACTGATGTAGATTGTCTTAATATCATTGTAGCTCAGGCGCAGCGTGATCCTGAAAAGTCAGTCGCTGACTGTTCTGTGTCGTTGCAAGCTCAACCATAGGGCAGCTTTACATGCAAAGATACATCACATTTTGGAACTCTAATTCACAGAGATACCCCACATGGTATGTACGGTACATACATGTACATGTACCGGTACATTGTAACTGTTTTTTAGTCTCTATGAAGTACCAATGTGATCATTAAAATGTCATTTCATAAAGGCAGGAATTTTTTTGTGTTTACACCTCTATACATTTTAAGTGAACATTTGAAAGCTTCGGTCATTGATGAAACGTGCATCTGCAGTGACATGCGCATCTGGGCTTGCATTGACATGTGCACGCCCTGGTCATCTTTGATACCAGCACACCCCAGGTCACATCATTTACCTTGTGCCCAGGGTCTATTCCGAAAGTCTTGGAGAATGATAAAAGGTGTTGTTATATCGTGTCTAAATTTGGCAGTTGAAATTTCATTGGTCTAAAATGGCCACGTGTCCAGTCTCTAAAAAATAACGGTTTACTTCATTTACACTGCGTTGCATATAAATTACCTCATATATACTGCATTCCATATAATTAAACTTGTATACATGTACTTCATTGCATATAAATTACCTAGCTGTGTTATGCACGCATGTAGGGCCAGCCGGCATGACTCGTGACTGAAACTGCAGCCACTCAGTCTTATGTCTAAGATCAAATTGGCAGTTATGAAAGGTTACACCGCAGTGATTTCATATATTTCTTGCATAGTAAGTTGCATCCCTTTATTTTGTTGGCTTATTGGCATGATTAGACAAAGCACATACACATGTGCCAGGAGCTAATTTTGTACCTGCCAAAGCAGAAATGTTTGTTCAGTTGCAAATCACCAAAAAGCATCAGTTACAGGCAACTTTGCTGGTACATGTATGTGTAATCACTCAGAGGCTATGCACACATGTGACACTTTGGCTGACAACCGCTCACAAAAACTTCTCTCTTTTTTTGTATAGTGGTAGGATTAAAATCCGGATTTTTTAAAATTCGGATCGAATTCCATTATTCGGTTTGGATTTTGGAAACCGGATATTCAAAACAAACCTTAAAAATATTTGGCGTTCCATTTTTTGTTGCACAAGCTAGAGAAAACAACCAGAACATCCCCCAATTTGCTCCATGGTCTCTGTAACCGCATTCACTTGCTAACAGTCTTCTTGGTATACATATGAAGAGCCTGCCCATTCGTCTGATCAGAGAGTTCCCACCCATTTTTTCAACATTACAGCTATCAAGTGTTTTTTAAAGGCCCAGTGGTCGTTCAATTCCGCAAACTACATTACATGTACATGTACATGTATGCGTACCAAATCATCGTGTACGGCATTCCGTGCGGCACCTCACTTGTAACTTTTCGTTGGCATGACTGTGAGGTGAATGTTACCGTTATTTGGTTTGAAAAAAAATTAACATAACCAGATTTTGAAATCTCTGATTTCTTTCACCACAATTTGTGTACAACTGTAAGCTCATACCGGTATACCAGTATAGCCTACTGTGTGATATACAGACAGTATTGTATGTAAACAATTGAGCCTACGTGTACCGGTAGTAACTGTTTTGCCAGTACATGTACATGTAGGTTACACTGTACATGTACATGTATGTACAGATGATGTTCTCAATGATCAGGCATGCATAGAATAATAAAAAAAATTAATTAAATATCTTCAGACGTTCTTTAGACAGATGGTGCCTATTTAGAGATCGTCATGTCCAGTTTAACAATCGATCAAAATCTCCAGGCTGAATATTTGAAACACACATTTCAGTCATTTCCATGGATGCAAAATCTGCTTTGGTATTGGTGCTTGATTTTACTTACATAGACAGGAATGGAATGTGATACCGGTAGTTTGCAATCTGTGTACATTCAACCATATTTTGCCAACATTTCATTCCTAAGATCATTAACTACATGTACCGGTATAAGCGCCGTCAATATCAGAATTTCAATAATCGTTATATCGGAACTCCAATACCAAGAATGTTCAATATATCGATTACCCCATGTAAAATGTAAATACCATAAAGATGAATATTTTTAGAATATTTCTATGTTTTAACATTATGCATAAAAAAATAATGGTCTTTTTAGAATACTTTAATGTCGAACATATGTATAAATGTTTTTTTTTTAATGATTTCTGTTAATTGTAAATTGTAAACCATCGCAATTCAGTCTTCGGACTGCGAGAATGGTACGAACAATAAAAAAACCTTCAAAAAAAACCTTCAATTCAATTCAGATGACACCTTAATTAAAAATTTAAAAATTGACCATAATCTGACGCAGTTTCGATTTTTTTTTTTTAGATTATTCCTCAATATCCAACATTTCAATATTTCGATATGATTAAAAAATTGCTATCGGCTATCAATATTGAGATGATATCGAATAATTGAGAAATATCGATATGACAACGATGCTTACATTAAGTTTTCTTCTTTTATTTAAATCTGGGTCACATGAAATTCACATGAGTGAAGTATTTTGTTTTTCCTGATTTTTTTTTGATTCATTGAAATTTTTAAACAGAGGGAACAGGAATTTAAGAATCAGAAAACATAGCCCTCCTCAAAGTACCACTTGTTTTAAAATAACATTTGATTGAAAAAAAAACAGCTTTAACAAGTTGATAAAGCGCCCTCTCTTGACCCATTACTGACAGTTTTAGAAGGAAAAAAAAAGGAGTGAGGGCGCTGTTTTAGTCTAACAGTGCAATCACTGTACTTTGCAAATAGAGGTTGTTTGCTGGTTCCAGTGCATGCATATAATGTCCATTAACAGCTACATGTACATACATGTTGAGCCTCTTGAAAAGACATTTCTAATAGAAAAAGGGTTCTACCCCACCCCCTTTTTACTTTTAAGGCATTTCTCAAGTCACATTTTAGTATGAGGAGTGCTCAAGCAACATTTTCGGATGACTATTGTACAAGTAGTGTGTTAACATTAAATTCCTCCTGAAGTAAATTTCAAATGGACAGATTTTTGTGCAATTATGTACATGTACAGTATGTATGTTTCTGAAGTGTACAAAAAATAGAAATCATTTTTTTTTTATATGCCTTACTCATCAAAGGCTCTGTGCACTTTTCCTTCCCACATTATGGCATTGTTACTGTGATAACTCAAATCTGGCACTCAAGAAACAGTTTCAACCAATCAAGGCACTGAATTTGAAGAGTTTTGAATTCAAAAAAATCAACTTCATTTTGGATACAGGTCTCATTTGAGCTTGGCGAGTATACAGCAGATGTGGACGGTGTTGGTACCCTGCGTCTGCTGGATGCCATTAGGACATGTGGTCTCGGGGACACAGTCCGTTTCTACCAGGCCTCCACCAGCGAGATGTTTGGGAAGGTACAGGAAATCCCTCAAACGGAAAAGACGCCGTTCTATCCCCGGTCACCCTACGGTAAGCACTAAGCAGACAAATAAATGGGCTCAAATAAAACGTTCTCCTTACTGTATTCCAAGGATCCCTAGTAACTTTAGCAAAAACTGCTGCTGGAACTGTTGGCATGTTACTAGCAGAGACTTTGACTTGTGCCCACGCGGACATCCTGTAACATACATGTAGATTCTCTGCTTACTCTACAGGGTAAGCACAACATTTCTTCAAATGTGCACAAAAAGGAGTGGCTAACAATAGCCATGAAATGGGACCAGTATTTGAAAATAAGAATCTTGTAAAAGGTTGTCTTTTTCTTTTTTTTTAAGAAAAAATTGGGGAATTTTGGCTCTTTATTCGCTTTTTTGTGTGTGATATATGAAGCTACTTGGAACAGCAGTCTTCTTTTAAACTGGAAAATTACCCCACGTCATCCCCCTAAAATGAATTGCTATTTTCTCTGTTAAGATTTGACAAAAAAATCACATTTCATTGTTACATGTACTTTTTTTTGTCATTAATTTCTGCATATTTCTATTAAAAATATAATTGAGCTAATTTACATTTCCGCTTTTGAGGCTATAGGGCCATTCTGTTTAATTTTAACTCAATGAAAGGATTACAAAATGCTGCACTGAAAACGGCTACGAAGTTAGGCAAAAAAGTGATCCCTTCAACAGAGCATTGCCTCTGACTTAAACGTTAGGCAATATATGTTGCCCTCCATAATCATTGCCTTGAAGAGTTAGGCAATTTATTGCAGTCCTTGAAAATGTATATTTATGTACATGAGTGTTAACAAGCGCACTGTAAATAAGTACAACATATTGTTAGTAGAAGATATATGCATGTTGTAGGCATTTTATCTCTGCATGTAACATTTGTAGATTTGGGAGTGTACAGAAAAATACCATATCAAAGAAAAAATGTGAATATGTAATTTTGAGAATGCTGATAGAATGCGCATGTACATGTACCGGTACCTCTGGCTTGGCTATAGTACCGGTACTGTGCATGGTTAAGATTCATTACAGGCCATTAGAAATGGTGCACATATGGGATACTTAGGGTATGTGTCTCAATAAAAGTTGCTTGTTAAAAATTTGCGTGGTTATTTCATCTGGCACACTACGGGCAACGTGCATTTCACATCAAAATGTTGAGATGTATACATTTGTACATGTGCCTTGGTGAAATAACTTCACAAAATGGTGATATAACCATCTTGTGTACATGTATCCCGTATGGTCTCTATTATCTTTGTTGCACATGAATCTCTTGTATAGATTGTTTTCTCGGAAGACAAGCATATGAATTATTTGTTGGAATCATGTGAAACATTTGATCTTAACTCAGGTGCTGCCAAGCTGTATGCTTACTGGATCACAGTCAACTTCCGAGAGGCCTACAACATGTTTGCTTGTAATGGCATACTCTTCAACCACGAGAGCCCAAGGAGAGGTAATTGGCCTGAATGCAAATTATAGAGGGCGCTTTGTGGCTCAGCACCAAGCATTTTCACTGACGGCATGCGCTTGACAAAATGATTGTTCTGTTTGTATCAATCATGTTTCCAAAGGCGTTTATGGCAGCGACTCTCTTTAAAGTTGCTCCCTCTGTGCTATTTTTTCGATTTTCACCCCGAAAATAAATGTTGTTTTTAAATTATTACTTTTCTAGCAATTCAAAACTTATTCACTTTTGAATGAGACATCAAACAGAAACAATCCACCCACGTTTTAGTCATGGAATAATTACTTTACAAATTTTGAAATATTTGCGGCCTGACAATACATTTTCATTTTTTAATAGGCGTATCTTTTGGGGGTTTTTTCTGGTTAAGTTAAACATACAAATTGAGAAATCATTAGCAGAGAAGAAAAAATGATTAAACATGTATTTGAGAGCACAGGTAGAGCATTTATTGGATAGATATTGTTCAACTGGTGACCTAAGGTTAATTTTGCCTAATGTTTGTGCTACCCACAATGAATTTCACATTGTTTTGGTATAGATTTTTTATGAAATTAAACACTTAGGTTATTTTGTTTTGTATGACATTCCAACTGAGGAAATGCTCTGAATATGTACCATTTGGCATAATTGGGTTACCTTACGTATGACAAATGTTGATGTGTAATTTTGATAATTTTCTTCCTTTTTTTTTTAGGTGAAACCTTTGTGACAAGGAAAATTACTCGGGCAGTTGCCAAGATCCACCTGGGTCAACAGGAGAATATCAGCTTGGGTAACCTGGACTCTGAGAGAGACTGGGGGCATGCCAAGGATTACGTGGAGGTGAATACAGAAGACTAGACTAGTCTGCCGATAAACTTATTATTCAGAATCTCTAGCTACAGTTGTGTGATGGGAATTGACTTAAAAGTTGGAGGTAGAATCATTTGCTTTGTCTCAGACAAGTTCCGGGAGAAGCTTGCATAAACATAAAGAAGTGAAACAGAAAAATAAACTGTGAGCTAAAGTTAAGTCATTTTTAAATCTGTGTTGTCTATAATGTCTTTACAATGTGTACAGAAACGTAATCCGCAGTAAAAATGATCATATTAAAAGGACAAACAGTAAATGCGAATAAATGTGTTTATCACACAAGGTTACTAATGAATATGTCATTCTCACAACATTTCAAAAGTTCGTTTTTCAACAATTTGAAAATAAAATGTCTCCTTTGCATCATTGCAGTTTTTGACTCGCCCTGTATTTCAAAGGTCTGGTTGAAAGGAAACTATTAACCTGATGTGCCACTGTTCATGAGAAAAGATGAAAAAAACACCTAATGGTTACTTATTACGCAGCAGAGATTTTGCGGCATAGTTATACGTATCTCCAGCCGTATATAAGTCTCCTTCATAGACGAGTTTTCCCCAAACTTCTGTGTCCATGATGTCGAACAATCCAATGTACATGTACTGTGATTCCTTGAAGTGTGTGGCTGAACACCTGTGTAGTAATGTCTATATGGGAAACATGGTGTATTTTCTTCAAGTGAATATTGAAGTATTTTGGTGGGTACAGAAGGGCAAGACTTACTTTCTGGAATGACTTTGAGCCAAAACATATTTGATAGGTTTTGGTTTCAAACTGGCATTTTTGGGGTATTAATTCTTCATTAACTAGACCTTAAAGTCATCCTGAATGACTAAAACAGGCAATCTTTCATGCACTGGCTCCCAATTGTCTCAAACGTCAAAGTTTTCATGTACTAATCAAATCTTTGAAATGACTCAGTTCAGCACAACTCTGGAACCCAACTCTGAAATGGTTTAAATTGTTTCTCTGTATTTCTCTCTCTTTTGCATACTTAAGGCTATGTGGATGATGCTACAACAAGACAAGCCAGAAGACTTTGTCATAGCCACTAACCAGGTCCACAGTGTACGGGAATTTGTCGTTGAGTCTTTCAAATGCATCGGGGTGGACATTGTGTAAGTTTGCCATCTTTCTAGTGCCTCATTGGCAGACATGTTATCAAGTCACCAAACATCAAGTCCGAGTCTGAGTCACCTCTCCCTAGTCTGAGTCCAAGTCCTGAGTCATGCAGATTGAGACCAAGTCCGAGTCACAAGCTTTTCTCTAATAACTGGAACTACACAATATGTCAAATATGACAAGGCACCAGTGTCTGGAAAGGATAATCTGGTACCGAACACTATCAAGGTTGCATTTACGCAATATCAAGTAAGGACGCAGGGGTACATGTTTCGATACATTAATTTCCCAAATCAATATAATTATGGGAAACAAACCAGCTGCACATGTTTATATATGCATTTCTTCTGCACAGCTTTGACTGTATCCCTTGCTCAGGAGAGGATCATCTTCAAAATAATTTCTAATGATATTGATTAAAGAAAGTAAGTGCATTTTGGTCGAGTCCCGAGTCACGCAGGTCGAGTTCAAGTCCGCAGGGTCGAGTCCGAGTCATTTGTCATGGGACTAAGTCATGAGGCATAAAAGTCTGCCCATGGAATAATCGACCATTTTTATGTGGTATCTCAGAAGTATTTTAGAAATCTTAACAAGTAATTTTTGTGTCGCCTTTTAAACAAAGTTTTGGGAGACACTAACCAGTCCTACATTCTGTATGCCCGTACACATCAGAGGTACATGTGGGGTACTCGAACAAAGGGAAAGGTACCCCACAATTGAAATCTTAAGAAGAGAGGGTACCCGTCAAGTGAAATCTTTAGAAATAGGGATAAAGGGACAACAATGCTGCTACCCCGGAACCATATGTGTTTAAGTTTTTGGAATTGCTCTCATTTCCTATATGTAACTATTCGCCCGAATTCCATAAAACTTGGACACAATGGTCATTGAGTAGCAAAGATAATGTGGGATATTTTTTAGGTGAAAGGTTATACATGTAGGTCAGACGTCAACTGAGTTTAATAATGATGCAATTCATGGTTTTTGGGGAAACTTTACAATGTACATGCTTTCATGAATTTTAAAAAAGACGACACATGCGATCCTCGGATCACTTGTTTTTAAAGATAAGAATTTTTAGGGGGAAAAAAGTGACAATGCAAATGGTCTTATCAGCCTGTCTTCAGATTTTTTTTTTTTTTTTTCCATTTCCCAAAAATAAATATATCGATTTGTCACTAAATGATTTTTCTACATTGTATTTTGTCAATTCTTCCCCCCCCCCTTATTTACTTTTGTTTATTTCAAGAAATTGACAAATTGAAAGACTGTCAGCATAGTGTGGCTCAGTCATAGATTCAAATCCAGCTCCAGTACATTATCTTTTTCAACCTTTAATAAAATGTATTAACATGCAATGTTTGATTTTAATTTTAATCATGCAATTAAAACCCCAAAGCAAATGCATTTTATAATCATTAATTTTTACCTCCCCATGCTTCTACCTTTATCATTAATATTCTATAGTGTTCACTGGCTGTGTTGAACACTTTCAAGAGATAAAATAAAATACTGCCCAACAAATTGTTGAAGATCTGCAGTCCAGAAAGGTACATGATCCCTTGCGCCTGCAATATCAAGTGCCGTCATGGTGGGGAAATAGTTCCTGTGACCTCATCCTGTCTGCGGTGCACGTGTGGTTGGACAGGCAGTCCCATATGCCCCCCCTCACCCTTCCCGCATTACTTACCCCCTTGTTTAACTAACGCGCCCCGCTCGCACAGTCTATCCGACAACATTTTGCCAGGCAGTGTTTACCCCCCTGTCATGCCTTTATTTGCTTCCTGTCCATTAGCGAGGCTGAACCCAAACTACTGGGACCACAAATTGATTTTACCATTTTTACCCCTCTTCAAAAAGAAAAGTGGGGGGGGGGGAAGAGAAAGTCTGGACCCAAAATTAACACAAGGGCCTTTTGGGAAACGGTTGGCTGTTGGAGAGGTTGGTTTCTTTTAATTAAACTCTCTTTTCTGAGTCAGTGAAGCCATATTTTTTTTTTTAGGGGGAGGGGGAAATATGCATACTGTGACAGTTGTTCCCTGTGAGCTGACGTACATTGAAATGTAAACATGAAGCAGGTTGTCCTCTGAGTATTGAAGGGAACACAGAACCTGACCAAGCTGAGATTAAGTCCCAAGTGACAACCACTGTCAAGCGGTGGAATTTTTTTCAGTTAAAGCTTTTCATCTTCATTCTTTTCCATAGTATTGTTGGTTTGTTTCTCAACTCATACGAAACGTGGCTTGGGTTATTCTGTGAATGTTTCAATGAAGTATTTAGTATGGGAAACCATGCATTTGGAAGCAAGAATAATGTTTTTAAAACAACGTTTTTCTTCCAATGCCACACAACATACATACTCTTGTTTCATAGTGCAGTGTGACAGATTTTTAACCGTTTTCAAACTTTACTAAGTTACACAAACGTTTTCCCATGATGCATTGCAAGTCCACAACCTGGATCTGTCCAACCCACACTGACTTTTCCCCTTATGTTGTTTTGTTTTTTTTGTTTTTTGTTTGTTTGTTTTTTGAATCCCTGAAAACTGAAGTTACTCATAGGTTTTATTTTTCAAATGAAGTAAATGTAATAATTAAGCCAAGCTTTTTTTTCTTTGATTTCTTTCATTTTGACAGTTGGGAAGGCAAAGGAACCAAGGAGGTGGGTAAAGACAAAGCCTCAGGGATTGTACGCGTAAAGGTGGATGAAAAGTTCTACCGTCCAACAGAAGTGGTGAGTACCAGTTTCTTTTGAAATAACAATTTGATAGTTATGTTTACAATTCGGACGTTTGGTCTGAGACATGGCCAAAGGCAATTCAGTTGGTCCAGTAGGCAATTTGTAGAGTTCCTTGGCAGACTTGAATAAGTGGCCCAAAGAACCCCCTATTTACTGTTACAAGTTAAGATCATGTGACCAGATGGGGATGCCTTCTCCACCGAAGTTGTTCCAGAAAAATAGTGGTTGTATCTTCGAATCCACGTTTGATCACTGTCCCTTCCTTTACATTAAATGTATGTCAATTTTTTTTTTTCAAAATTACCTGTCAACTGTAAGAAAAGAATTGGCTTGTACATTTACAGGGTGAGTCAAAAAAAGGAAACCCACATAGCAGGACCATTTTTGTACTGAAGTTCTGCATCTAGCACTTCCAAAATCGAGGATATGAAAGCCCAATTAATAAGCTTTCTTTTAGTGTAAGAATTCAAATCACTTATGTACTTTTCAAGTTATGGGATGTCCACGGATCATAAAAAAAGCAATTGTTCTTTCAGCAAAACGAAAACATTCATGCACATCCCTATGTGAATTGTTGATTTAAAACACAAACACTGTTTTAAAGTTATGTCCACATATCATAAAAAAAGTAAGCGTTCTTTCAGCAAAACGAAAACAATTCAATCACATCCCTATGTGAATTGTTTCGTTTTGCTGAAAGAACACTTACTTTTTTTATGATCCGTGGACAGAACTTTAAACGGTGGTTGTATTTAAAATCCCGTAACTTGAAAAGTACATGATTGATTTGAATGATTCTTGTACAAAAAGAAAGCTTATTAATTGGGCTTTCATATCCTTATAGTGTGCTACTTGCAGAACGTCATTAAGAAATGGTCCTGCCATTTGGGTTTCCTATTTTTTTACTCGCCCTTTATACACCATATTTGACGACACTTCATAACTTACTACAGGACACTGTAAGAGAAACCAAAAAGACAACCAAAAATAATCAGTAGGACAAGTTGTTGAGGTCCTGTGGCAGATCTCATCTGCCTTGGGGTAGTACTGAAAATCATCTTAGACTCGCCCCAGGGCAACCTGACACATATTCTGGGTGCTCGTTCAGTTAGCGTTACGCTCTTTTTTGGTTAGAGGTGGGGATTAATTGGAAGATGCGCAAAGTGAGAGGGGAAGTAATAGACAATTAAGCCTTTCTCCCCAGGGTAGCCAGTAGCATAAAGGGATTTTTTGGGGGGCCAGCATGAGTAGAGTTGATCTGTTCGTCGGTAATGGGTTTTCTGTGGTGTTATAAAGATTGCAACAGACAAGTGTTTCTTTGAGGTGTATTTACATGTAATGGTCTTTGTTTAAATATTCTCCTACAATTTCACAGCAAGCCTGCTTTGCATTTAGAGAATGTAATATGAGATTGCAAATACACATTTTGTGTTTACATTGTTTTCTTTTCATTTTTTTTTACATTGTATGTGTTGGGAAATAAATTTCACAAGAATGTTAGAATGTTGCATTAGTAACTGCATCATATTTATTGGCTATATCTTTCACATAATTTCAGCCACTGTGTGCAGAGATTCAAGCTTACAACATTAAGACATGCATGTTTAAGCTTTAATTTTTTTGGAGGATAAAACAGTTTTATTAATTCAATTTGTTTGCTGCGGCTGAAATTCCCTGCACGTTTCTAATAAAAAACTCCTATTGTCAACATTTTGACTGCGTGCATTCACTCATCTCAGAGACATTTTTTTTAAGCGAAGTTCACGGGCAAATCATTGGTTTGGATGTGTAAGATATAGCTACCCTTTATTCGTTTGCACGGAAATAACAGTGATTTCATGAGACCCGGAGTTTGCCGTTTTTTAACGGCAACAATCACTTCACAGGAACCATTCACAGAATTGCCAAAGCAAACAGAGCAAACATTCAAGTGTTTGTCTAGCATAAGATTACTTATTGGTATATGACTGTCCATTTCGATTACCCTTCCGCGCCCCTGTACCCGTTCATTTCTCACCCCTGTCTTCCTTTTATAATTGGCTTTTTTTTTTTTCGTTCGTAAAGTGCATTTTGGGCCAAACTTCAGCGTCTCATCCGAAAATCTACTCCGGGTTATTCCCGATTGGTTTGGGCCGAGGACTCCAATGTCATAGGGAGAAGGGCCCGGCGTTAAAAATGACGGCCAAATTTTGTTTGCAGAGATCTTGTCGCTTGGCGCTGTTAATAACTGGGCTTTCATGCCCAGTTTGTTCCGTTGAAGCCCAGTGCTGAGTCATTTGGTATTCTGAGGGGGGACTTGTTGCAATGCACAGTTGTTCTAGTGTTCAGCTTATACCCTGCCAATTCAAATTCCTCAGAGACTACCCCGGACCCACTTTGTTTGTCACATATTTTTTCCCTTTCCTTTTTATGACTCTGATGACTTTTTTCCCTCCAAATCATTATACAACTGTTAACTCTTAATCTCTGACATTTCTTTCTGAACACACTGAGTCACACAGGCATGGTTGCCTTTATGATCCCTTTGGTATATTTGGCTGTTGAATTTCAAATATTATGCCAGATTTGTCGACACTTAGCTCTTTGTTTGTTTGTTTGTTTTCAAGGGTTCATTCTGCCCCTCTGGCTCCCTGTTTTCGTGCTAAACTCTACAAATCCTGAGAAACATGCTTTGAAGTAAACATCAGCAGGGGCAACAGGTCGCTGCCAAACATCAAAATTCTGAACCGATTTTGACACAGGAAAAACATGGAAACAAGGGTCTTAAAACTTGCACCAAGTTTGCCAGGATGCAAACAAAAAGCATAAAAGAGTGAAAAGTCAGCTGGAAAAAATTCTGTTTTTATTACCAGAGGGAAAATTAAACAACATAATGCCTCCGATCAGTCCAGCCTTTTCAGTTGCAATGTTAAAAAAAATTATCAGCAAAACTTGTGATAAAAACAAAATCCATTGATACTATATTTTTCTTGTGTTTGGGGATATCATGCTTGATCAGAAACGAGTAGTAGACTTTTGTCTAGCTGCTTGTTACTTGTTTGTGTATTTTATTTTTTTCTCTATCAAGCCTTGTTGGCAGGTTTTGGAAGGTTTCTAACTGACTGTGGTTATTGTACGTAACCTATGGAATGGGATTAGTTTTGCCTCTGTTCTGCAATTTCATTTCTTCCCCCCTGTCCTTTTCTCTCTCGCTCTGAGTCCCCATCGTGTCTCAGTGCACACCACTTACTCTATTCAGCCCGACATGTTTTCTTTGTAATGATTGACAGTTCCTGGAGAGTAGGGCTGGGAGAAAAAAATGAGTGGAGTAAAGCGGGTTTGAGGAAAGAAAGAAATGAAAAAAAAATTACACATAAAACTCGTTTCCAGAACAGTTTGTCAAAATGAAAACATATATGAACTTCAGTTGTCAATGCATGAACGCACAACACACTGAAGATGTTCTTTGTTGTTATTACGTCATGATGACGTCATCATGGGTCACGTGACGTCACTTGAAAGATCACTGAATTTAATCTTCGAAAATCATAAGAAATCACCGTGAGAGACTGGAACTTGAATTTTACGGGAATTGATATGATAATACATGATATTCATTTTATCTTGTGTGCGTCAAATCACATGACCCTTCCTTCCGTTCAAAACCGGAAGTGCCTAATAATTTGAAATTGGAAAAAGTTGTGAACTTGCTTTCAACGATGTTCGTCTCTGCCTATGTTGAACTTTACAAAAATATTACAGGTGACGTCATAAAATGTTAGAGCGCCCTCTAGCAGCAGTTAAAAAAATGTCAAAACCGCATTTTCAGTTGATGTGTAAGGCAGATTCTTCCATTTTTTTCGATTCTTTTGCTGATACAAAATTCTGTTCGCAGAAGCGGTAGGCCATTTTACATAAAGCAGTTTTGTTGGAAAAAAATAAGACAATTAAACTGGTACATGGAACATGTGTTGACAGTATGTTTGCAAAATATTTTACGAATGTACATGTATGTATTAAAAAAAAAGGAGGCAGGCATAAGAAAGGAAGCGGGCGGGGACGAGAAACTGGATTTTTATTTTACTGGGCCTAACTTGGGTTGGAATGACATTTTTGGATTTGGAAGGCAACAAGAGTAGGAAAGGGCCACCCTGCTAGCAATCCTTAAATCCCAGCCTCAAAAGTCTTCTCTAATTCTGATCAAATCGTCCAACTACATGTACATGTAGTTTGAAGGGCTCTCATCTCCGTAAGGCCCCTGTACATTTTGTAAATCTTCAAACAATTCTCTCGCTTGGCTTGTCACCAAATCAGATGTCACTCAAAAAAAAAATCCACACCCACCCTCTCTTGCTTTTAATTTCCTGCCCATGTTCAGGGCCAAATCGTCATGGCAACCACATCTAGGCACATTACCATATAGACACCATTTTAAGAGGAAAATTTAAAGTTGGGATGATTTTTTCCACTACTATCTCTTCTCTTTTGTCTTCCAAAGCCATGGTCGCAACCTACCACCCTCATCTGCTTAACCAGCTGTTTTCCTGTCCATTCAATAAAGACCTTCAATTGTTCCTCCCCCCCCCCCCCCATCATCTCATAAGCCCAGTATTGATTCTGGCATTGTTTTCAGTGTTTTTGTAATGACTGCCATTCTCTAGATGGTATAATTATTCAGGGCTGGCCCTCAGTGGCTCTGATGAAAAGAACTGGATACATTTGCCTGCCTTGCATAATGACGTATACAATCATGTACAGTGTATATGTCATGTACATGTACCGGTAGCTACCATTGGGCACGCTAACATGTTGTGATTTGAATTAACAATACAGCACACAACTAGTGTGCCATCTTCAACCTTTTTTCACCTGGATAGGAGGGAGGCATGAGTTGGTTAGCCACCTGTCTACATTTATATCATTGCTTCCTCTTATTGTTTGCAAAGACCAATGGATATTGATTTACATGTAGGCTTCCGAGTATCTGTCATTTCTGTTCCCCAATAGCACAACTT